TGGGTCCGATTATGCGGCCTATAATGTAGAAGAAGATCCAATAAATCTTCAAGAAGCACTGTCATCCATGGATGCAGACTTATGGCAAGAAGCCATTAATGATGAGATAGATTCTCTAGAATCTAACAAGACCTGGCACTTAGTAGACTTACCTCCGGGTTGCAAACCAATTGGTTGTAAATGGGTTTTGAAAAAGAAACTAAAACCTGATGGAACGATTGAGAAATACAAGGCTCGCCTTGTAGCCAAGAGTTTTATACAAAGAGAAAATATAGATTTCTTCGACACCTTTTCTCCGGTCACTAGAATTACATCCATTAGGGTACTCGTTTCAATAGCAGCCATTTATAACTTAATAGTACACCAAATGGATGTTAAAACAACTTTTTTAAACGGTGACTTAGAAGAAGAAATCTATATGGAACAACCAAAAGAGTTTGTGATCCAAGGACAAGAAAGCAAGGTCTGTAAGTTAGATAAGTCTCTGTATGGACTAAAACAAGCCCCTAAACAATGGCATGAAAAGTTTGATAACCTAATGATAATTAATGGGTACAAAGTGAATGAAAGTAACAAGTGCGTTTATTACAAATCTGAGAATCGCATTTGTACTATCATATGTCTATATGTAAGCGATCTACTTATATTTGGATCAAACATTCAGGCCATTAATGATATGAAATCATTGTTATGCAATAACTTTGATATGAAAGACCTCGGAGAAGCAAGCGTGATCCTGGGTATCAAGATCACGAGATCCGACCAAGGAATTTCTTTGGATCAATCTCACTATATGGAGAAGTTCTTAAAGAAATATAAATACTTTGATTGTAAACCTGCATGCACTCCGTATGATCCAAGTGTGAAACTGTTTAAGAACACTAGAGAAAGTGTCAAACAAGCAGAATATGCGAGCATCATTGGCAGTCTTAGGTATGCCACTGATTGTACTAGACCCGACATTGCATATGTCGTAGGATTGTTGTGCAGATTTACAAGTAGGCCGAGTAACGAACATTGGCAAGCTATTGAGCGAGTAATGAGGTACCTTAAAAGGACTATGGACCTCGGCCTACACTATCAGAAATTTCCTGCTGTACTAGAAGGGTATAGTGATGCAGATTGGAACACATTATCGGATGATTCCAAAGCTACTAGTGGTTATATATTTAGTATAGCCGGAGGAGCTGTATCTTGGAAATCAAAGAAACAGACCATTCTGGCACAGTCCACAATGGAGTCTGAGATGATAGCATTAGCTACAGCTAGTGAAGAAGCAAGTTGGTTAAGATGCTTGCTAGCTGAGATTCCTTTATGGGAAAAACCTATACCAGCTGTGTTGATACACTGCGATAGTACCGCAGCTATTGCAAAAGTTGAGAACCATTATTATAATGGTAAAAGATGTCAAATTAGAAGAAAACATAACACTGTTAGAGATTGTATCTCTAAAGGAGCTGTGAGAGTGGATCATGTACGCACTGATGAGAACTTAGCAGATCCTTTGACGAAAGGATTAGCTAGAGAGAAAGTCCATAATACTTCCAAAAGGATGGGACTAATGCCTATAAAGCAATTAGTTACTCATGATGGTAACCCGACCTAAATGACCGGAGATCCCAAGACTTAGGTTCAATGAGTAATAACAAGTTGTGAGTAATATGAAAATGATCATGCAAGTAAAGCATGAATCCTGAAGTAATGAGAGGATGAGATAATAGAAACTCTTAATGAGATTTATACTCTGTATGAGGGAGTACCTAGGCTACAGGAGTACTCTTGATAGATTCACCTATGTGACTGTGGAACTGAGGCCGGTTCCTATGGAATTTCGAGGCAGAATTCCTAGAGCATTCACTAAACCGGGATACACGTGCAGGGCCAATAAAGCACGGGTTACAAGAATACATCTTACGGAAAGGTTGTGTGCGGGTCTGATGTCTAAGATAGAGTTCAAGACAATGGTGTCACTTTTATTGAATCAGAATCCTACTCGCTACGCTAAGGTTCAAGTCGTAGACACCTTTGCTTATGCTCAACCTTAGAAACGTCTGACGTACCTCTAAAATCTCTTTTAAATTCAAGTGGGGGAATGTTGGAATTTTATTCATTAGAGTGGGAATTGGAAAGATTTATTGACAATTAATGGGCAATAAATGAACACAAGTAAGAACTAATATAGAAGTGAATTTGAAAAGATTCATTTTAGTCCCACATTGAAGGGAATGGAAATATTAGTAGTGTTTAGATATTCCAACTTGGTCAATTGGGTTGGGCCCTAAAGGGCACCCAATTTTGTGAAAGGAGTGAGGACACACCCATGACCAACAAGACACACACGCGCGCGCGCCGCCGTCTGTCCGGCCGGCCGGCTCGGCTCAGCTCGGTTCGGTCTAGATGAATTATTTTTTGGACCCGAATTTATATAATTTAATTATCATTAATTAATTAATATAATTTAGTGGAAAATTAATTAATAATAATATTAATTAATTAAGAAAATAATTGGTCAGTAACTGCCATACTGACTAGATCCAGTCCTCCACGATTTTCTCATTCTCCCACCATTTTCTCCACTCACCACGAATTTCTCCCTACTCAGGTGCAGGTAGCTGCCTATAAATGCAGGGTAGAAATTCAGTAGTGAGTACATCGGATTTCACAAGTTCACACGAATTTTGATTTCCCTCTTCTCTCCCTTAATTCTCTTCATCTAAAATCTTTCTTTTCTTGACTGGTTATTTTCACCAGATACTTAGAGAGGTATATTTCTAGAGCGATTTATCAGTGTGCAACTGATAATCGTAAGTTTTTTGAACGGGCTGTTTTATCCTGGAGGCGACTGCTTTTGCATATTTTGACAGTACGGCGAAACATCTTAAAGAAAGCGACCTAGTACGCGACTCGTCCCGATAATTTCGTTGTGCCAAACTCAATTTTTCAAATCCGAAAACAACAGTTTCATCATTCTTTCTTGTAAGTTTCTTCGTGTTCCTCATTCATTTTTCCTGCGTATTTTGTTGCTTTGTACGTTTAGCTTGGAACAATAATGAAGACATTTTTTCCATGTTCACTGAAGAACGATATTGATAGTAAAGAAATAATGTTGAACTAATTGGGGATGAAATGATATGATGGTTCTTTTCTTTAATGGAGATGAGAAATAGTTTGGGTTCAAGTGGTTTCTCAACACTTAAGGTGTTTCGTTTCATAAGGCAATGGCAAATGAATAAACATGACAAGTTAAGTTGTGTTTCTTGAATAAGAATAAAATATTTCACCACAGTTTCTTAAACCAACCTTGGTGATACCTAATTTATTTAATTTAATTTTATAAAAACGACAATTTTTAACCATTTAAAAATAAAAAAGGAAAGTATATCACTAAATCAACTGTTATATTATGTTTAGATTAAAAATAAATAAAAAAGATGGGCGCTAATATAAAAATAAACAAAAGAGATAAACCATATCACTGTGGTTGAAATAACCTACCGTGGTGAAATCTGGATTATATTTAATTTAAAAATAAATCAAAATGAAATGTGCCACTATAATATTTAAGAAATCATAAATTTACTAGCGCTGAGATTCAAACCCAAGAACTTTAGGAACTTTCACCATGATTTCTATGTCCAATTGTGGTAATATGTAAAATATTTATAATTAAAATAAAATAAAAATGACGACGCCTGATTTTAGAGATGTCACCATGATCCTTCAAAAAACCGTGATAAAATAGACGTCATAGTATATACTTTTTGTAGTAGTGATATGACTATATTTAGTGGTATTTTACAGTGTCACATCATTATATGACATCAGTTGCAGAGGGAAAGCCACCTAGGCCAGTTCATCAAAAGATAGTATTACGGATCTTGCGCGAGCGGGTATAAAAAGAGGAGACATTCCAGAAGGCTATTCTGAGAGGACCATTGTAGCCATTCTTACTGAAACACGCACGCCATTGCAATACAAGAGGCAACGTAAGAACATGAAAGGTTCGTCATACACAGTAGTATAATATTTGTATTAGATATTACAGATAGTATTATCGTTTGTTATTTTGTTATTTTGATTGTATTATGAATTCATGATTGATTCATCTATACAAGTGTATGATTTAATTTATAAGAAATTTATTATGAAAGTATAGTTATAATATATGGTCTATTACGTCAATATATTTTTTAAATAAATGTCAAAATTTATTAGTTATTAACTCCGAAAGTGTATATCTGTATTTAGATACAGAGATGCATCTCCGGACACAATTACGTCAAAATGAGAGTGTTCCAGTTAAGAATGGATGTGCATATAAGGTAAATTATTATGTGCATCTCCACACTAATTTCTAAAAAAAGAGAGATGCAACTCATTTATGCATGGATCGGTAAAAATGGGTGCGTCCAAAAATATACTTTCGAATTCATATGAATATTTTAGAATTTCCATATGATGTTTCTCCATCACTTAGGTGTGATAAATAATGCCTAAAACCAAGCTTGAAAAAAATATTAAAACTAAAGCCAAACATATATTAAAGGTTTAATAACTTTTTAGTTTTGTAACTTAACCTTAAAATTTAAAATTTAGTACATTAACTTAATAAATGTTTATATTGATTATTTGACACTTCAAAAAGTATCTAATTTTTAATTCATTAAGTTTAATTTTTTTTAATTAACACGAATTTATCAATTAATTTTTAAGTTTGTTGTCATTAATTTAAAAAAAAACTAATATGATACCTTTAAAGAATTAAGAGATTATTATTATTATTATTTTAAATTAAGGATCAAAATGAACTAAAATTAAGATATGAAGAAAAAAAATTTAAGCATAATTAAACTACAATCCCCAAAAGTGTAACTAGTAAAATCAGAAGTACTGGTAGCGGCACCCACGGGGAATTGAAAACTGGAACAAGAAATCATTTGGTTTCGTTGTGTTCCCATCATCATCACCATTGATTGAAGCCATAAGAGTTTCGGTTGAAGATGAAAACCCCTATTTCCGGTTTCTACAGAAACCCCGTCAAGTTCAGAATGTAAGTTCTAACTATCTCCCATTCTTTCCTTCTCTTCTTTCTTCAATCACTGAATGAACGAGTAATCATAAACACACAGGCCAACTTCGGAAAATCTCGTACCCATTCGACTCGACATCGAAATCGACGGACATAGATACAAAGATACCTTCACATGGAACCCTTCTGGTAACACAACAACAACAACAACTGTTCTAAGTGTTTTTAATAATGCTTATGTTAGAAATTAACCTATTGGAACATTGTAGATCCGGATTCTGAGGTTGTGGTGTTTGCGAAAAGGACTGTGAAGGATTTGAAGCTGCCTCCGCCTTTTGTTACTCAGATTGCTCAGTCTATTCAAGTACCTTGTGGTTCTCTTGTTTTTAGTTTCTAATGAGTTTGATTTGTACTGTATTTCACGTTTGATGTTGGTTTGGTTGGTTTTCTATGTATTAGTCGCAGTTAGCGGAGTTTCGATCGTATGAGGGTCAAGATATGTATGCTGGAGAGAAGATTATTCCCATCAAGGTGCTCTTTTCTTCTCAATGATGTTTATGTGCTACGATTTAGTTTTAGTTTTGAATTAAACCGGATTCACATTGATGTTTTTGTTATTGTCTATGTGATTATCATTTTTCAACATTATGAACATATCACTTTAAACCCTTATACTATATCATATATGATACAGCAGAATACTAGTAAATAAAATTCTTAAGTTTGAAGTAAATAATGTGTTTAAGATAGCGTAATACCAATGACATTGAAAATTATACACATGTTCTCGGAAGACTTGTTTTTAACTTTGTAGTTATGAAGCTCAGACACGCTGACCACGACACCGACATGGAGACACCGATAATAATTTTAAAAAATAAATAAATTTAATGTAATCACTAGTGTCGGTGTAAGTGTCCGACAAAAACACGGACACGGACACACCTTTTTTTAGAGATGTCGGTGCTACAATGGTTACTCACTACGGTTAAATTTTTTGTTTACATTGTAATGGAAAAAAGTGTAACTCATGTCATCACTCTTAGGGGATGACACTATAATTTTTAAAATTAGAGGGGAGGGTGTTAAGTCAGACTCATATATACCGATAAATTGAGACTGAATTTTCCAGTTTCACTATTGTACTCAATAGAATAATACAATAGTGATGAATGGGAAGTGCAATAAGACTTGAAATTAAATTAGTTAAGGATTGAGTTCCATTACTGGAAATTTACAGAAAGTACATGACAGAATAGAATAGTAAAACAAGGAATTCGGGACACGAGGGAGAGAGATAGTAAGAATCACTAATTTCAGCTTATCCAATCACCAGTTTGTTTCCCCTTTTATATCACATTCAGTGCATTTCTTGTTATGCTTCACTCTCTCTATTACCCCTTTCTCGCTTCCGGATTGTTTGGATTTCTTGTCACCTTTCACTGATTGATTGCCATCTGTCCAGCCTCCTCAACCAAATTTGCTGCATTATATTCTTTGCCTTTATATTAATATCATTCATGACAATACTCCCCCCATTGAAAACAGCCTTGAATTTGTTGAAGCAAAATGAGAATTGTAATAATATAATAGATTTTGGAACCAGTAGTGAACTTTGCTTATTTGATAACAAAGGTAATGAATGGTACATGTGTAGAGGAATGATTACCCTTGCAAGGTTTCAATTAGGAAATGTGAAAAACCAGGATGTATTTTGGCCGCTGGTGGCAAGAACAATTTATATGCAACTTGTCCAATTTTCTTAATGACTAGGAATCAAAGTGCATAAACCAAGTTTCTGATTGCGGCTTAGTGACAGTAGAATGATAACGATAAGGCTGTAATCTAGCAAACATCATATCCCCAATTTGGAACTCATAGAAATGCCATATTTGTCAGCATGCTTCTTGAGGAATTAATAAGCCTTGGACATATTTGCTTTAAGTTAGAGCAGCATTTGATCCCCTCTCAGTGTGCAATTCCTGTAAGGAAGGAGGGTCCGCTGCATGAGGCTCATGCTTGACCATTGAGGGAGGCTCATTGCTTGTGTGACAAGATGTATTATACCAAAATTCTGCTCAAGCAATTACTCTTACCATGCCTTCGGTTTACCGGCAGTAAAACAACACACGTAAACAGCTCTAAGCGTTTGTTGAAAACCTGATTGTCCATCAGTTTGTGGGTGATAGGAGGAGCTCATAGCTAAGGACATGCTGCTTAATTTAAACAAGTGTTGCCAAATTTACCAGTGAAGACTTTGTCATCAGAGACAATACTCTTGGGAGAACCATGCAACCTAACTATCAAATTCATGAAAACTTCAGCAACCTTCAAAGTTCAAACTTGAATGATTGGATTTGAGAGGAGCAAAGTGGCAGTTCTTAGGAAGGGGATTATTTACCATCAAAATGGCTGTGTAGCTATTTGATGAATGAAGGCTCGTGATAAAATCCATTGCAACATCTTCTCAAGTCTAGGAAGGGATATGCAACAGCTGTAGTAACCCAGTAGGCAGTATAGTAGAAGCCTTAATTTGTTAACATGTGATGCACTTGGAGACAAAATTGTGAATATTATGCTTTCTCTTTCTCTTTTTCCTCCCCACTTCCTGATTGTTTGGGTTTGCTTGCCACCTGTCAAGCTTATAGACCAAATTTGTTCCGTCAGAATCTCTGGCTTTTGTTTTTAATACCATTCATGACTGAGGTCTGTAGTTTAAGAATCTCTTAAGGGAAATGGGTGTAATATACATGTCATTGAATCAAGTATTTGTCTATTGACAAAGTTGTGTTGTTCTTTTTTACAGCTTGATCTTCGTGTAAATCATACGCTTGTAAAGGACCAATTTTTATGGGTAAGATCGCAGCACAATCATTGTATAGGAATGGAACTGTCATCTTCTGATTTGCTGCACTTTTTTGTTGGATGTTGGATCTGCATTACGTGTCTAAATTTGTTAAAATTCTAGGACTTGAACAACTTCGATAGTGATCCTGAAGAGTTTGCAAGGATCTTCTGCAGAGACATGGGCATTGAGGATCCTGAGGTTGGAGTAAGTATATTTAATTATTGCTAGTAATGAATTAATTTGTAATACGTAAACATACAAAACCTTCTTGAGTACCTGTGAAACACACTAAACACCAAAACACTACTGTTTTGCAGCCGGCTGTTGCCTTTGCCATCAGAGAACAGCTTTATGAGGTCATTCATTATGTTGATCAGTTAGTTTGTCATGTTCGAGCATTATTTTATATATATACTTGGCTCATTTACCATCATTTTAATACATTTTCATATTCAGATTGCAATTCAAAGTGTGGTTTCAGCAAGAGAAAGCAGACTAAGCAAAAAGGGTCGTCGAGGGGCTGATTTTACTCCAGTCAGGTTTTTCATACTCTTCTACCCTAGTTCAGTCGACATGATGAATGCATTTTTATTATAAATTTGTAGTATATATATGTATCCCTAATCTATTATTTAGTCGCTGTCTTATCAACGATCTCTTGACAGTAAAGGAGGCGCCGTAGCAGTGGACTTAGTCAAATTATTTGGTATTAAATCAAGTGTTGTTCGGTAAGTGTCATAAATTTATACAGTCTTGTTTTCTGAAATTCAATAATTTTCGTTTGAACATTTATATCATCATGCAAATAATTATGCCGACATTCAAGAACAAGGCTATTCGTATGTTTAATTCAAACTTATGTGCAATTTTTAGTTCAAAATGAGAACTTCATATGCTTTGGTTGTTTTGGTTGAATGCATCAGGAAAAGAAAGGAGTGGGACGTATATGAACCCATTGTGGATCTTCTATCCAACGAAGAAGTTGATGTCCTTGAAGCAAAGGAAGAGAGAAATTTCAGGTGAATTGGCTCTGTAGTTAGTTATGTCTTGTCTCAGATAGTTCAAAAGAGTGTATATTTTTAATGTTTTAGTTTGAAGTTATTTACATGTATACTAGATGGTTCTGTAAGACCAAAAATCATTGATTCAGCATATTGTTATCATTTGCTTTTTGCAGTGTTTCTTCTCTTATATCTTTCTGTACAAAGAAAAAACTTTAGGCATAAGATCAACGTTTTCATCAAACTGAAGGGATCTCAACTCATAAAATTCGTTTAACTTGGAAAAAGATTGACAAAAAATGGTTAAATATTTCTTACCAATGAAATATGATATTGTTGGGAATCCATATCATATACTAATATTTAGTCAAACCAAGCAAAAGTATTAATTTTGTAAATGAATTAAGGAACATTGGTTGGGTCTAGAGGAAGAGACTAGTAGTAGTAGTAGAATGTTGGAAGTAAAAATTATTAAAAATAGATATATTGAATGAATATGGATTGGATTGTTAATAGATGGATAAAAATAATTTATTAGTCCATTAACAATTAATTTTTTTTAAAAATTATCCAATCTAATCTATCTGTTAAGAATAAAATTTATCTAATTCATCCATTAACATATTTTTAATGGATGGATATTCATCCATCCAACTTTTTTTTTATTTCAAAAAAATAAACGTATTTTTTTATTTTTAAAAATTTGATTTTATTATATTTTCAAAAAATTTAATTTTTGTATTTAAATTTTTTTTTAATATGTTCATGAAAAAAATTAAAATTTTTGTTTTAAAAAAATTATTTTTTGTATTTGCAAGAAAAAAATTGATATTTTAATTTTAAAAAAAATTGGTATTTTTTTCGGAAAAAAAATCATTTTTTCTCAGAAAAAAATTATTTTTTTTGAGAAGAAAATCTATTTTTTTTATAAAAAAAACCTCGGTTTTTTGTTTCGAAAAAAAAATAGTTTTTTTAAAAAAAAAATCAATTTTTTTTTTGAAAAAAATCGGTTGTCTTTTTTTGAAAAAAAAATCAGTTTATTATTTTGAAAAAAAAATCAAAAAATTTTTTTTTCGAAAAAATTCCAGATTTTTTAATTGGAAAAAAAATCAATTCTTTTCTTTAAAAAAATACACCAAAATACTTTATAAGGAAGTCACTCTTATTTTGACAAAAAAATAGCACGGAAGTTAACCTCAGTATTGATGAAAAAATGAGTTCATATGTTAAGTTCTAAATTAATCCCTAGACACATTTAGATCTCATGATAATGTATTTATTTTAAACTATTAGTGGATAATATAGAAGTTAACTTCCAAAATTATCAATCGGGAAAATGAATATAACACCTTACATGCACTCTTCATTTCATGATCATACCAGCATACTTTCAAAATCCTACAAAAATCTCCTTCCACTCTCAATCAAGTTTTGTACTTCATGATGGTGTATTTATTTTAGAACTAATAGTGGATAATACATAAGTTAACTTCCAGAACTACCAAGCGGAAAAATGAATATAACACCACCTTGCATTTACTCTTCATTTCATGATCATACTACCATATTTTTAAAACCCTACAAAATTCTCCTTCTACTCTCAATCAAGTTTTGTACTTCAAAATCACATTGTTCTGTTTTTTTTAATATGAAAAGGAGAAAAAGAAGCTGAAATTTAAGGTAATGTATATGTATTTTCTTCTGTATTATGTTGCACGTTGTTTCAAATGTTTTATTTTGGGTTGTTTTCATGTTGAATTTATATTTGATTATGTTTATATTGGTTGCAATAATGGTGGGCCCTGACGTTTTACACAAATTTATTGTGCATATGGATGTTAAACTTGCTAATGTCGATGTAGATTTTGGTAAAAAAATTTACAAATAAACAAGAGTTTGTTGTTCGTGAACATATACTCCATTGGATTCACATGGAGGCTACAAAATTGGGGTTCGATAGTGTAGTTAGGAGGTCAGATTCTGGTTCTGATAGAAGAACGACATTTGTGACAATGAGATGTGAAAGAAATGGCTAGTACAAAAAACCTATCAGAAAGTTGAAACAAGACGACACTAATTTGAGGCAACGCAAGTGTCCTTATAAGTTGTGCGAGTACCTTATGGCGAATAATACATGGACATTTAATGTGGTTTGTGGTATACATATCATGATTTATGTTTCAAGTTAGTCGGTCATCCCATTTTACGCCGCTTTAATTCTGAAGAGAGAGATCTTGTTTCTGACATGACATTGAACACAATGCAACCCAAACATACACTAGCGACTTTGAAATGAAAAAGACTGAAGGTGAAAAAATACACAAGAAAGGGGGGGTGTTGAATTGTTTATGTCAAAATATCGAAACTCTTTTCACTTTGAATTCTGATACATAAGATTTTGGACCACGTTCAGAGTTTGATAACATAGTGAGTATCAACAGTGAAAATTTTACTTCTTTTTCTTAATCCTGTTTTAGAACCTAAGGTGCCACACTCATATTTTGATCCAAGTAAAAGTTTGAATCAGATTAGAGTCTAACTTCTGAGTTTGTTTACACAATAGAATATAAATGAAGAAGTAAAAAAAGAGACACACAATATATCCTGGTTCCACTCTTAAATTAAGAGTAGTCTAGTCCCCTTGCAACACAAGAGCTTTTAACTATAATCAGACTGATTACAATTGCTTAAGCCAGCAGCTCAAGACTTTCTGCTCAATCCCATAGAAAGAGACTTATGTAAGAACAAGATTGATTCTGCATCTGGCCTTAAGTTTTGATGATAACTGCACATGTTATCTCAGAGAATAATTCGGTACTCTATGGTTTATGTCTAGTGTGTAGTTTTTGCTAAACAATATCTAATTATGATAGAAAGGCGTGTGACGTCATCAGGCTCTGATCTAAACACTCTGGAAGAAAACATATGTTGTGTACAAGATAAAGTCAAAGTTCAAAAGTATTTTTTGAATGCAACGGTTCTAAAGAAAGTTTGTACTAAAGTTTCTGATTGCGACTTTGAAATTAAGCCTTGAAGGCTTTATAAGAGATGTACTTCTACCGCTACAAGTTCTGAAGACAAGGTTTTGTTGAACAAGTTCTGAAGATTTTGAAGACAAGGTTTTGTTGAACAAGTTCTGAAGATTCTGAAGACATCATTCCTATCGCTACAAGTTCTGAAGATTTTGAAGACAAGGTTCTGTTGAACAAGTTCTGAAGATTCTGAAGACATCATTCCTATTGCTACAAGTTCTGAAGATTCTGAAGACAAGGTTCTGTTGAACGAAATTCTGAAGACATTATTGCTATTGCAACAAAGTTATGAAGATTATGAAGACAAAGTTCTGTTGAACGAAGTTCTGAAGACTCTGAAGACAAGTATGTGCTGAACAAATTCTGAAGATTCTGAAGACAAGGTTCTGATTGAACAAGCTCTGAAGTTTTTGAAGACATTACTTCTAAAGACCCAGTGCTGAAGATTTTGAAGACAAGGTTCTGTTGAAAAAAGTTCTGAAGACTCTAAAGACAAGTATGTGCTGAATAAGTTCTGAATATTATGAAGGCAAAGTTCTGAATGAACAAGCTCTGAAGTTTCTTAAGACATCACTTCTAAATACCAGGTGTTAAGAATCTAAAGACAAGGTTCTACTAAACGAAGATCTGAGACTCTGAAGACTTCGGTTCTAAAGTTACAAGTATTGATCTTTCTACACATGCTTCATCAATTATACATCTGAAGCCTCTGAAGAACTAGAAGACAAAAGATCAAGAATGATTGGATAATATGTTGAATATAAAAGTACAAAGTAGTATATGACCTCTACCTAGAAAAGGTGGCGCAAGGACAACTTTTTGTATTATGATGTGACAATTCCTTCAAGTGATCGTTGAGAAACTACAGCTGGAATATGTTTCCTATTATACCCTCCAACAGATCTATTCTCAAGCTTTATATATTGAAGATCTGATTGCTTGAAGCAATTCGACACGAAGTGACGAGAAGAGATGAAAAGTGAGAGAAAATAATGAAAAAGAAGAAAAGAGAGAGCTAAAGAAAACACGAGAGTATGTATGCAAAGCGGAAACAAAACACCAAGCCATAAGCTCAAAAAGAAGATGCTTGATGCTTAAACAAAAGATAGAGCATTGCTCTACAATAAAAAGAGAGAATCATTAAAAGAAGCTTTTAAGCAACAAAACTCATGCTGATACGACGCCAATCTCTTGGAGATCATTCTTAAGATAGTTTTGTATATTAGTAAGGAACTGTTATTCATATCTTACTAGAAAACACATTTGTGATATTGTACTTAAACTTGTGTAATCTGCTTGTTTAGAAGCATCTCTTTATACATACATTTGTAACACTTTTCAAAGTGGTTATTCCTCAAGTGACTAAGTCGTTAGTTTGTATACTTGAGAGGGATAAGTTGTTTTCTAACACTTAGAGGTTGTAATCTTTCTAGATTATTGGATTAAGTTCTTGTCTAAGGCGAAATCACTTTGGTGGGTGGACTGGAGTAACTTTGTTAACAGTGAACTAGGATAAAAATAATTGTGTCTATTTATTTTTATTCTCTTGTTAGCATTAAAGTTTGAATTTCGAGAAAAGTTCACATTTGGTGAAACCCAATTCAAATCCCTCTTTCTTGTGTTTCTCACCCCTTCAATTGGTATTAGAGCTCCGGTTATGGTATTGATGTTTATCAAACACATCACCGTGTCAGATAATGATCCGGGCGAGCTTTGAGAAACACCTTGATGGTTTGTACTCCATCACCTACTGTTCCGATCTCAATTGTTCTTAGTTCTATCTTCCACCATTGTTGGTGAAAAGGTTGAGTATTGGAAAGCAAAACTAGAAAGTTGTTCCTAGACGGTGATACTGATCTTTGGAATATGGTAGTTGATAACTACATATCTCCCTTAGATGAAGCTGGTAAAAGGTTGGAAGCAAGTCTGAACGATTAGTTGGAAAAGGATGATAAGAATCACCAGAAAGAAAGAAGTTCCTTGTTTGCTG